GCCTTTCACCAAGGCCATACACGTGTTTGATACCCGGGCTTTGTGTCTTGTATAGAGTGTGTGCAACCATGTGACTCAAAAATCCCTTGAGATATGAATAACCGAGTGAAACAGCCGCCATCTTGGTTGATCTTACAAGAGAAGCCGAGGAGGAATGCTTTGTTATCGTCAACCAAGATGGCGACAATGACGTAACATGCACCTGTTCTATTGGTAATGTCAAAAAAGTTTGTAATCCCTTGGTGAATAGACCTATATCACACGGCGGCCATGTTTATTCTCATGAGAATGAAAAACCTTTGTTTAACCTGCATTAATTTATTTTCAAGCACTTGTATGTGGGGCTACGCGTGATAGAATCTATTGTTCCAACCAACATGGCTGCCGCGTGAAAAAGGCCCATTAGCTCGTATTCCGAGGACGAGAACACTGGGGCGAGTCGGCATCGCAGTGCATTACGGGATTGCTTCATAGGATAAATATATTTCGTCATAAGGCGTCTCCTTCGTCCCCTAAAATAGTTCCATAATGCGATGCGATGAAGACTCGTCCCAGTTTTTTCTTTAGCCTCGGAATTGTTAATAGATATTCTTAGCTTCGTTCGTATGCAAACTGCCCATTCCAGATCACATGGCATTCCCTTGAGAATCATTTTTTTATGGCGAACAAAAAATATTTACACGTGAAAAAATCAACTCCCAAGAGAGGTTATAACTAGCTAAAAACTAGTGTGAGCTGCGTCGGTGTTTCTAATGAAACAGTAATGATAAAAAGGTAAATTATACACCGTGAAAAGATGAAAAAACTTACTGACGTTTCGGACGCTAGTCCTTCGTCGGAGTAAAAGAGAAAGAGGTGGTAGAAAGGAGTGTAAAAATGATAGAATAAGACAAAAGAAACCAATGTGCAATGTGCACAACAATGTGCACAACAAACAACTAAGCTAAAACGGTCTATAGATCGTTTTCACGTGATGTTACAGTAGACATGTTGGTGTATCGGGAAATCAACTCAATTTCTACGTAAAAATTATTTAGAACGTTTCTATCGTCTGGTACACCAATATGGCTGTCTTGTCACGTTAGTGAAAACGCTATATTGTGCGCGTTTGTTCGAAGCAGAAATAATCACGTGGTCAATGGTCGTATGACGTAAATGGCCACGTGACCAGCCATTTATTGCCGAGTACCCACCATGAACATGTAGATCGCAGTCAGAGTGAAGACAACAACCAATCCAACAGCAATACCAATGCCTATCCTTTCTCCTTCATTCAGTGTCTTTGGAAATTTGTGGGCTCCTTCACCTCTAATCTCGACGTTATCCACCTAAGACGAAAACAAATATAAGAAGTTAACCATTCCGAGGATGAGGGAGAACTGGGTGGACTTGGAATTACAGTGCATTTTGGGCCTGTCTTAGGGGACGAAATAGTACTGTTCAGTAGCAGTTCCAGGGAATATTAGAATGAGGGGGGGGGGGGTGACTATTACAAAGTTTTTACCAGGAATGGGAGGAAAAGGGGGTGGCTTCTTAAGGATAATACTAAGAAATTTGAGCAGGTGGGAGGGGGGGTTGGCTTGTCACCCCAAA